CCCAAACGCAATAACCTCCGAAATTCAATCCGAACCCAATCCCCCAAAACCTCTTCCTACAATGCTCTGCACAAGCCCTCTCGAGATCTTGATCGAAACTTCTCGACCAATAGGAAACATCATGCGACGCAATGTACTTGTAGTGCTTCTCGTGCCTCAATTCTTTCTCGGAATCCTTCATAGTGATCCCCAGAATCATCGCGTCGGCCACACTATTGATATTCCACGGGTTCACTCGGATGGCCCCACTTAAAGACGGAGAACAACCGATGAATTCCGACACTATAATGACACTTTTCTTCGGTTTTGGTGTAGGGTTAGCAATTTCGTCAAGACAACCCTGTCTCGAAACGGTGTACTTGTAAGGAACTAAATTCATCCCGTCTCGAACGGGTGTCACCACAGCACATTCGGAAATCGAGTAGTACGCAACTTTTTCTTGAAACGAAATCGGACCCTTTACGCACACAATCGGCTGATATTCTTTACTACCGTATTTCCGATTCGTCTCGCTAGCAACTCTGTTAATCTCATCCTCAACTTCTTGAATATCTTTCCCTCGACTCCTCGGCGAATTGATGATCTGTACTAAAACAACTTTCCCCCTGTAAACCGGGTTTTCAGCTAAAAGCAAATCGAACGCCATAAACTTCAAACCAATCCCTTTAAACATATCCAAATCATCAACACCCAACAACACGATTCTCCCATCATATTCGTTCTTCAACTGCCTAACCTTCTCTATAGTATCGGGTAACGACATAACGGCTTCGATTCGGCCCATGTGGATACCAACGGGGAGGATTTTAATACCGACGGTTCTTCCGTAATAGTCCAATCCAATGTACCCTCTCTTGGATTGATAATCCAATCCAAGCATTCGACTACAGCACGACAAGAAATGCCGAGCGTAATCGAATGTATGGAAACCGATCAGATCGCAATTCAAAAGAGCCCTCAAAATCTCCTCTCTTACTTGCAGAGTTCGATAAATCTCCGACGAAGGAAACGGGCTGTGGAGGAAAAACCCGAGCTTTATCCGATGGAATCTCTTCCGCAAGAAAGTCGGGAGAATCATGAGGTGGTAATCGTGAACCCAGACATAATCTTCGTCCGGGTTGATCACCTCCATCACTCTGTCTGCGAAAACCTTGTTGGCAGACACGTAGGCCTGCCACGTGTCCTTATCGAACAGGGCCCCATGGTTGGGCGCCAATGGCAGCATGTAGTGGAAAATTGGCCAGAGGAAATGCTTGCAGAAGCCATGGTAGTACCTGTTCATTAAATCGGGCGGCAAGAAAGTTGGGACGCATTTGAATTTTTCCAGGAGGAATTGGGCCACGTCATCTTGCTCATGTGGATCCACGTCGACAGACAGACAGCCCACGTGGATGACCTCCACGTCAGCGGGAAACCCATCCCTCAATTGCAAAACTAGGGCTTCTTTATCCCAATCGAAGCACCATTTTTCCACATCCGACGATGAATCTCTGTACGCCTTCAGCGGGAGCTGGTTGGCCACGATTATCCTCCTCTCTGAACTGACGGACGAAACGGCGCCGTTTTCCGGCGAAACGGCGCCGTTTGTCGCGTCGTCGAAATCGGATATGATCCCGGGTACGGAAATCACTCTAGGGATTCGAGTCCAATCAGTCGAATAGTCGTCGAGGTTCAACAGATTGAAGCAAGATCTCGACAGCATAATTACAATAAAAAAAAATCTCAGCTTTTTTTAATTTTTTTTTTTGGGGGGGTGAATGAAACGAAACGAAACGGAAAAGCAGAGCTCAATACGCCGGCGGCCGGAATATTCTGTGATCTTGTATATTCACCGGCGGGTGTTGAAGACTGAAAGGGCGGTGTTGTTTGCAGGAAAATGGAAAATGGAGAACTGGGATTATCATTTATGCGGCGATGGAAGGAAGATTTAAATGGTAAAAAAGAAGATTTAGAAATGTGGAAGAAGATTATGGTATTATAATTATGTTTCTTGAATGAAAGGTGGTATTTTGTATATAAGGATAAGAACAGAGGACCGACTTACCAATTATGTTATTATGGGACTCCACCCACCCCCACCCCCACCACACTCTAGAAGAAATTTGATTTTTTTTTTATTAATTTATTAAATAAATAATATTCATAATTTTTTTGGTTCAAAATCAAAAGTAGATAAGGTGGAATTAGAAGTATTTATTATTTCACAATTATAGCCAGACCTTTATAAATTAACACAGTTCGCAATAGCAAATTCTATTAATTTAGGGAAATATTAAATTATCGAAATAATAATTTAATATTTTTTTACCGAATTACTCTGAATTATTATTTAATTAATCAAGTATTAATTTATTGCGATTCTAATATATATATATATATAT